TAAGTATCTGGGTTATTCTTGAGGGCTCAGTAGGATCAGAGGGCCTTATTTCCTTTTAAAAAAAGTGTCAACTCTGTAGGTACCGGTAGAAGTCATGTTTGCCCAGCTCATACGCCTGGCATAAGTCCTCAAAACTATTAAGTTTGTTAATATTTGGCAGAAGGCAGTAATACCTCGCTTAGCCCATTGTCTGTACCTGTGACCTGGAAGGAACTGTGGATCATATGCCTGCCAGCTCAATAATCTTGTCTCTCCGTGTAGCTGAAATCTCTTCACCACCTCCAACCATACCCTCATAGAGAAAGCAACAAACTGATTTTGAACCTGGAGAGCCTTGTAAAGTCTGCTGGGTCAACCCAGTACTGACTGTATAGGTATGTCCATTAAAGGCAGCTAAATGTCTTTCCATGTAGCCTCCTATGCCACATTACACTAGCACACAAGAGGCCTCAACTGAGCAGACAGGTAGTAATCTTTAAGACACGGTAGGGCCATGCCCCTCCCCACCCCCCGGCAGCTGTAATGTTGAGTATCTCCCTCTGGGTTTTTTATTATTCCAGATGAATCTTGACAGGTGTTTGTCCCATTCCCTAAACTGAGGCACCTCCATTCATGTTTCACATTTATTAAAGCCAGTGTGCAACATTACTATAATATAATATTCATAGGTATGTTTTCATTAGTCTATAATCACGTGAAAGTACGCACAATGTTCATGGGTTTGAGTGGACGTCCTGCTCTACCTCCTTGCCACTCGCATTTAGAGAGGAAGGAAATAATGCCAAATAAAGAAGTGACTTTAATCTGTGATATCTGCCAGCTCCTCCTAACATCTGACACAATAAAACTATTCACTCATAAAAATGTTTAAACTTATAATGACCTTCTCCTTTTTTTACTGGGATTGGTACGCTGGCATTTATGGCAGGAAACAAAGTTTTTCTTCGTTTTTTATCAGTTTTATCCACTAAAAGATTCTAAAATTTGTGTAAATGTGGCCTAAAAGTTAGAGATGCAAGCTTTTGACCAGAAGGTTAACGGTTCTCCCTCCTGTGAGGTGCCTTTGAGCATGGCTCTTAACCCCAAGCACTGCTTAGTGGCAGCAGCTCAGACTGTGGTTCTAGGCAGCTTCCAGGTGTATATGTGTAACAGTGTGACTGTGATCAGAAGCTTCCTCTCAGTGAACCTTCTCTGAATAAATAAGACAAATCACTATTAAATAGGCTTTAAACATAAAAATAATCCTGGTTTTTCAAATGATTTAAAAACCATGAATATTATGCATTTAGTATGTCGTCATTATATGGACAGACTTTCTCTCAGCATCCAAACTGACTGACTGACTTCCAGCTGACTGTGTCACTGATGAACAGCTGGATGTGACTGAGGACAGAAAACAGTGGATATGTGAATATGTGAAGGATGAGTCACACATTATTCACATTATTCATTGTTTCCTTTAGACAAACAACCCTGGTTGAGCTTTCTGTTGCTCCTCCTCCTCCTCCTCCTCCTCCTCCTCCTGTTGTTGCTGCTGCTGTTATATTGAATTTCAGGCCTCAGTCACATGTTGTGTGACAGTCTGGCTCTTAGTCAGTCGGCTGAGAACTGGCTCAGCAGCTGCTTTCTGAGCGTGATGCCGAAGAAACAGATGAGGTACGAGGAAGAGTTTGGTGTTGGAGCTGAACTGTGTGAAACGGGACGAAGGTGATGTGAAACTGTTTCCTGTTGCTGCAGGTTCGACTCGAGGCGAGCGGTGCAGCAGCTCCGAGCCTGCGGGGTCCTGGAGACTATCCGGATCAGTGCAGCCGGATACCCGTCCAGGTGATACCCCCTCTTCGTCCTCTTCTGTCCTCAGATCAGTCTCATAAGAACCTCACAGGTGTAAGCAGTCAGTTCCTGTCGGCTCTGAGGGGTTAAAAATTTGTTTATTTTCATAGTCATGGCCTCTACCCAAATCTAATAATGTGAGTCTGTGGGATAGCAGAGCAACAGGAGTCTGTTTGTTCGTTATGTACCTGAGTGTAAAGAGGCTCTGAAACTGTCACTATCTGTTTCCACTGTGACCCCCTCAAACCTTCCACTGCTGTACACTGTGTTTAACTCTACAGAACTGCTGTTTAACAAACTCCCTGAGTCAGATGGGAGTTCACACTGACAGCTTACCTTCTAGAACAATACTGAACACACCGTTTGCACTTACACTCAACCATTTTGGAGTCAGTGAAAAAAACCTAGTTGCAAAGAAACATAGCTGCAACCATAAAGGCCTATTTCTGTACATCTGATCATTAATAATCAGTTAATGACAGACATCAATAATAGCCTCATTGTACACATGATCCTGATAAAGATACAGAAAAACAGAATATATAATATATATTAGTGTAGAGAGACCCCCTACATTTCACAATTCATGTTTTTAGAGGAGCTCATGTGTTATTGAGAGGAGCCCAGCTCCCCCTGACTCCCTGTAGTTCACAGCCTGTGATATGTTAAAGTTCTCCAACCATTGACAATTATCTCCAAAATCAGAGTGATGCCACAGAAGCAGCTCGGTAGTTTTTATGATGAACTCTTTAGAAGTAAATCTGACAGAATTATTGACAAGCTTTTACCTTCATTATTACCTTTGTTTTTGATCACTGATGGCTGATGGAAATATCTACAGTCACTGGCCAGTGATAAATGAAAGTAGAGGACAGAGAGTGGAGCTCCAGATGGAATTAATTATATTAAATATAATATTAAACCGAAGACTAATTTCCACTGGGTGGACAATAAAGTTTTCATATTCATAAAGAAATGACAATAAAAGCTGTCAGAGACAAACGTGTGTCTTGGTGTTGTTTGCAGGTGGACGTACCCAGACTTCTTCAGCAGGTATCGAGTGTTGCTGAAGAAGTCTGACATGATGTTGGCAGACAAGAAGTTGGTGTGTAAAAACCTGCTGGAGACTCTGATCAAGGTGAGAAAACCTTATTAACACGTTGTTTTCTTGAAATGAAGTTGTTTTATTTATTGTTGTATTTATATCTATGACCTTTATATCCTGCAACCTGCTCCAAACAACACGTCCATTCACAGTTCTTTTAGTTGTTTATTCAGATGTTTAGCAGCAGCAGTTGGTGCACCATGGTTCCCACAAGTCCTTGAAATGCTTGACTTAAAGCACAAAGACGGAATTTCATTTAGTGTGACCCTGTGTCTTACCAGCTGTCCTCTTGTGTCTCAGGAGCCGGACATGTTCCAGTTTGGTAAGACGAAGATCTTCTTTCGGGCGGGTCAGGTAGCCTACCTGGAGAAGCTGCGGGCGGATAAGTTCCGCTCGGCCTGTATCAAGATCCAGAAGACGGTTCGAGGTTGGTTGCAGAGAGTTCGATACCGAAAGATCCGGAAGTCTGCCATCACCTTGCAGAGATACGGGCGAGGGTACATGGCCCGCAGGTGAGTTCCTCATGGTGCTGATATAACAGTTTTACACTGTATGTAACCCCACACAGAACCCACTGAGACTGAGACTGTTTCAGAACCACCACAGGAAGTGAGAAGCTGAAGTTAATTTCATTTTGGCAGTTTTCAACCTGGACCTTATTTTCCCATGTTTTTGTGTCAAATGGGGTCAACAAGTGTTGTATTGGTCCAGTATTCAGTGAGAGCGCCCCAAAATTAGCTAATACATTGGGGCAACTGTGCTCTGTTTTCTGCCACTCATTTTACCTTCAGATCATCGTAACTTCACTCAAAGTGGACAGAAATAGAATAAAATTCACCAAAACCAACTCTGGTTTGGTGGAAATAAATCCTCAATTCAGAGTGAGATAAAACACCATCTGCCGCCATGTTTTACTTTAAGTTCCTATAATTAATACTTTATATGAACACAGAGTGATGTAATAGGAGCTTTTTAGCCAGATTCACCACTAACTGACTATCTCTGTAAATAAGAATTTAACTGACTGACGAAAGGTTTTAAGTCCTGATTGAAGACAAACCAAAGTGCAACTGTTTTATTTTGTCTTCAGATACGCTGACTTCCTGCGTCAGACTCGAGCCGCCATCATCTGTCAGAAACAGTACCGTATGGTGAGAGATCAACGGGCCTATCTGAGAGTGAGACAGGCTGTTGTCACCATCCAGGCCTTCACCAGAGGGATGTTCACCCGTAGGATTTACCAGGAGGTACACAACCCCCCCAGCTCTTCTTGACCCTTATTGTCCTCTCTCACTCTTCCTCGCTGTCTCTGTGTTGGTGTAATGAGTAAATTGGAAGCGCAGTGTTTCCAATTTAAGGTGGAATGTTTTTGAAGGCTTCCTCGGTTCACTGACCCTGTCTCCTCCGCAGTTCCTCCTGCACCACAAGGCCATGATCATCCAGAAGAGCGTCCGCGGCTGGCTGCAGAGGAAGAAGTTCAGACGAGCACGCGACGCCGCCATCACCATCCAGTGCGCGTACAGACGCACGCTCGCCAAACGACAGCTGAAGCAGCTGAAGATCGAAGCTCGCTCTGCTGAACGCCTGAAGAAGCTCAACACAGGGATGGAGAACAAGATCGTCCAGCTGCAGAGGAAGATGGATGACCAGGTACTCACACTGGGAACTACATGTAAAAATACTGCTAACACCGCTACCGCTAACACTAACACCGCTACCACTAGCACTAACACCGCTAGTCCAAGTTCTGTCCTGTATTGAACAGCCGTACATTGTCTGTGTGTTTTCAGTCCAAGGAGTACAAGAGTCAGAATGAGCAGCTGCTGCTTGTGAACACCACCCTGGGCTCGGAGGTGAACAAGCTGCAGAAGCAGCTGGAGCAGGTCCGCAGTCAGCAGGGCGACGGGGGTCAGCTGACGTCGCTGCAGGAGGAGCTGGAGAGGCTGAGGGAGGAGCTGCAGGAGGCGGCGGCCCAGAGGAAGAGGCTGGAGGAGGAGCACAGCACGGAGAAACTGGGGCTCCAACAGGTGAGAGCACAGCCGGAGAGTCAGTGTGAACAGCAACAACAAACAAACTGCACAGTAACAGTCATTAGATCAGTAATCAGCAAGTGAGGACATTTATAGTTGAAATGTTTTGCTTTAACTAATCATAATGAGGTAAATGTTGATTGCACAGTTTAATGGCTGCAGAATAACTCTAATTTAAACATTTCAGAAAACTTATTGTATGTAATCAAACAGCCTCCCTCAGCTGCTGTCTGAATGTTACCTGTAACTCTGAGGTGGATGCTACTGATGGTGTTTTGTTCCTCAGAGGGTGGAGGAGCTGGAGAGAGAGAACTCCCTGCTGAAAAGTGAGAAAGAGGAGATGAACCAAAGGATTCTTCAACACTCAAAGAGCTTTGAAGGTAAGACCTGAACCAGAACACATGAGCGGTGTTAACTCTTCCGTTCGCTCGGAGAAATAGAAAAGCTGCTTTATATTTAAATTTAAAATACCTCTACATCATATGGGATTTGAGCCTCTCTTTGCTTCTAAATACTGTCATGTTTGTGGCTGTGTTGTCTTGTGTGTGTGTGTGTTTCAGAGGATGGCAGCAGTGTGTCTCAGAAGGAGGCGTCTCTGCAGAAGGAGCTGGATCAGGAGAGGCAGCGTTACCAGAATCTGCTTAAAGAGTTTTCCAGACTGGAGCAGAGATACGACAACCTGAAGGAGGAGGTGTCCCTGAGCAAGGTGAGCTCCTCTTCACTGCCACACAGCCCAACATCATCTATTGTTCAGAGGAAATGTTACATATTCAGAATTAAAGGTGTAAATTATGGGAGCTCTTTCTATATTAGTGTGTTTGCAGCCAACAGAGCCCTAATGTTAGAAATGTATAGTATGGGCCCCCATCCTTTAGAAACTGCCCACTGGGAGGTAAAATAAGGCCGCTTCCTGTTGAAAATGTCAGAAATGGATTCAGAATCCCCAATAAGTCCCCCAAACCACTCCTATATTGCTGAAATATTGTCTGTATAGTTGATTATTAATGCTAATATCGCTAATTGCCCAACATCAGCAATTAGCATCTGTCAGTGTGTAAATGCTGGGGAGCCATACAGAACATTTCTAACAGAAAACTTTGTACTCAGCAGTTCTGGTTCAGGTAGCTGGTCGACTAATAGAGGGTCAGTGTTTGGCAATAGAATAATGTGAAGTATTGCTATAGATATTAACGGTAAATAATTATTTCCATGAAAGAACACAACATGAAGTAACTCTCCTACTCCCATCATCCTCCAGTTCCAACCCGGCCACAGGAGGAACCCGTCCAATCAGAGCAGCCTGGAGTCAGACTCCAACTACCCATCCATCTCTACCTCAGAGGTCGGAGACACCGAGGACTCCATTCAGCTGGTGGAGGTGAGTCCGTGAGGAGGGAAGAGTGGAACGAAGGCAGGGTCCTCCGCTGAAGCCTGATGCTAAGCTAACTGTTTGATTTGTTGTCCCCTGCAGGAGATGGGCATGGAGAAGGCTGCGATGGACATCAGTCTGTTCATGAAGCTGCAGAAGAGAGTGAGAGAGTTGGAGCAGGAGAGGAAAAGACTGCAGGCCAATGTGGACAAGATGGAGGAGCTCGCCAAGCGCAAGGTGTCGCCAACCGATATTCATACTGATGTGATACTTCAGTCCAGCTGTCTTTATTATCTCTGCAGAAAGTCACTCAGATAACAAGGATCCACGTTGCTTTGCTCAGTTCAGACCAAAGATTAGTTTGTCTCCGTAGCAACGACTCTCTGTACTGATATAACTGCCGACTTTACATACCGAAAACATAAAAACACGAGAGGGTTGAGAGTCACTCATTTGCACGAGGTCACATCTCTGCGTTCCTGTGGCTCTGACTGCAGATGGAGGACAGGAAGTGATTTTCTATGTTGGAAACTCTATCAAAAATATAAATGCCTGTTTTATTTACGGTTGCTCAAGTCGATCAAACCAAGAAACCACGAGGAGCTTTGATTGAAAAGTTGTTCATAAGAAAGAAAATGGAAGAAACTGACAGAAAAACGCTGTAAGAAACAGTTTGTAAGTTCTTCTGTTGACAAGGAAGCAGCAGACAGTGTATACTATATTATACTATATTATATAATATGTCCATTACTTTACATTGCTATCAGACAGCCCGTTCTGAAGCCGTTATATCCATCTGTGCACTCTTCAAAGCCGCCAGACTCTATTTATAGAAACAGTGATTTTACCTCAGAGATCGTTGGAGTTTCTGGTCCACCACAAGGTGCAGCTCCTGAACAGTTTAACGTTGTTTTTCTGCAACTATCAGATTGATGAGAAGTGTGGACTGAGGCTCTTCACATGGTTCAACAACACAACATATGTTGTTATTTTCTGTTTGTACCTTTCTATCTAATATCATTTAAAATAGCACAGACTTTCCTCCATTTCTTCCGTTCTGCTTTTCACTTCCTGCCCTCCATCTGAAGTTCACATTGATGTCCATGGATGCTGTTTATTTGAGTAAAACCAGATCAGGTTGAGCTGAGACAGGCTGGTTCACCTCGTTGCAAAACTCTGAAACGGTTTTGTCCGGTTGGTCTGAACTGGACTTGAATTCCATGTGTTTCATTCATTAAAGGGTTCTGAGTCGAGGAGTCCCACCTCTGAGCAGGAGACTGCAGATCTGGCCTACAACAACCTGAAGGTTCACTTCACCTCACACATCACCATCAGCACACTACAAACTCATAGATTACTGACGACAGATATTGGATATTGTTTTCTTGTAACAGTCAAACTGTTGTGTCATATTCAAATGAATATAAAAATACACATTAATAAAAACTAATATATTGTGTTTTATAAAGGATTCCATCTGGATCATATACCCTAAATATCTCTTGTTCTGTGTCCCTGCAGAGGCAAGAGCTGGAAACCGAGAACAAGAAACTCAAGAATGACCTAAACGAGCTGAGGAAGGCAATCTCTGAGCGTGCATCTCAAAACAATTCCTCCAATGAACTCCAGGACAGCTACAATCTGCTGCTCAGTCAGCTCAAATCAGCCAATGAGGAGCTGGATGCCCGCAAGGAGGAAGTCCTCATTCTGAGGACTCAGATAGTCAGCACGGCCCAGCTACTGGAGAAGAATGATCACATAGTGAGTTTACTTTCATTGTACTGTAATGTTGGGATGATATTTATTATTCATGAAAGACTGGCCTCGGGTGTAAAAAAACATTTCAGGTTTTCAGCATTCAAAAGAACTTTCAAATCAAATGTGTTGAAGTACATTAAGATTGTACACTGTATGTAAAGATGGACGACGCATCGTAACTTCCTCCCACTGTACAAAAATGAAGCCAAAATAACACAAATACACGAGCCGCAGTATCAATGTCCTGCCCATACAGCTAGCTGACTCAATCGTGAGCAGGCATGAACATGAAACCCCATTTTTATAGCATCAAATAACATAAAAACATATTTGAAAGGGTTTATGACCTATACTGTAACCAGCCACCAGGGGGCGATTGAAATATATTTTTTTTGTGATAAATTTTTTATTTTATTTTAAGGAAAAATACAATACAAGATACATAGGATTGAACAACTAAAATAAAATAAAATTTTTGACTGAGGCTTGCTTAACTGTTGCTGGAGCACAGAGCAAAACGGGCTCTAAATATAACCCACCCACCCCCTGGATCCAAGCCTATTGCTGACTCTTTTGCTCCGTGGACTCTAGCTGTCGACAACTCCAAATAGACAATATCCAAATATGTTAAAACCCAAGCTCGAAAAGAGAGTGAATGTGGAGGTTTCCAATGTGTGGCAACTAGTTTTTTGCAGCCATAAGTCCAGCCAACAATGCTCTTCTCTTATTCAGTGTCAAACCCAGCCTGGACAAATCATTCAAAATGAGTGTAGCAGGCGAACAGGGCAATCTAATCTTAAACAACTTAGAGAGGTTAAAGGCAACCATCTTCCAAAATTTGGCCACTGGGGTACCCTCCCAAAACATGTGAAAATAACTGCCAATCAGTTTAGAGGAACAGAAAGTACACGTAGGATCATTAATAAGCTTCATCAAATGAAGCTTCCTAGG